ATGAAATATGTTCAATAATGCCATTAGGAGTCAGGCAAAAGTAACCCATGTGACACGAGTATACTCTGAGAGGAGATGGATGAGCAAGATATAGAGAAATAACTAGTTGTGGTTAAGGCAAGCCAGCTAGAGTGCATTCAAGAGATCAAGTTACAATCAATCCGAGTTATCATCATTGTCCAAATTCAAAATCATGGCAAAATATGATGCAACCAGAGTAGAGATGCAAGCACAACAAGAAAGCCTACACAAAGAGGACGCAAAAATCCCTCCGTAACTATCTATAGTAGTCACTTAAGAATTGCTTAATTTCCAAAAGATAGCATATACCATATTGGAATATGTAGTCACTGATATATTTAATAGATTCCTACCAAGCCAAACCACCAACTAATAGAAGAAAAAAACAAAACAATACAGCAAAAAGATAGTCCAACTGAAAACCACAGTAAAGAAATATTCAACCAATTGTAATTCACCACAATACTGAGAAATCACGCAGCAAGCTAAGGCTGCAATCTGATAGGAGCAATAGAACCAGAGTAGAAAACAACAAGTATGATCAAAAGGAAGGCAACATTTCATTAAATCATATGTAATAGGGGTGTTGCAAAGTAAATGATTAGAAGTTTCATTCTCCAAAATATTGTGCTTGATGAGTGCATCAACTATTTTGAGCTCTTATTTTATAGCCAACCAGTCAAATAAGGAGAGCCTTATAATGGAATGTTTATGTGAAACAATTTTGGTCTAGCAAATATCCAACAAATTAGAAAATTAAGGGTGATTCTTTGAAGTCTCTGAAGTAAGAATTCTGCTTGGAATTCCATGAAATTGCACCACCACAATGGGATATGATAACATCGCAAATGTTCTTGTAAATGATATTTTGTAGAGGGTGGTGGTTTATATTTTATGCGGAGCGAGACATGATTGAACATAGAGGATTGTTGGCTGGAAAAAGGAGGAATATGAGAGCTTCATAGTCAAATAATTCCATGAAAATTTTACTGTGGACCCGTGGATTATAAAATAAAGTGAAAGATGAACCACTACAAACTAAGTAGGAAATGTAGGGTCTAATTTTATGAACAATTTTAAGTGACGCCTTTCTAAAAGTGGAAGAGTGGAGGAGGAGGTTGCTGTCATATGTTGCTATATTTACTTTCCACCCTGAGCTAAGATAGCCATAATTATGCATGTTATTTCAAACCATTTTGGCTTTACAAGCATAGATCTGAATATGCGAAGGAATCCCGATATCATTGGAGTGCAAGTTTTCTCCCAAGATATTATATGCATTTTTTAAAGTCTTGAATCTCCGTCATAGAGCAACCTAGAACCCAACTTTCAATTTTCTTAAAGATATTCTTAGGGTGAAACAAAATCATTGCCTTCCAACCATCAAGAAGCCTTTTAGCTTTATCAATAAGTCATCTTTTAGCTGGGAGCTATATATAAGAATGGCCAACTAATTGAATGGGGGATGAATGATTTTGTAGCCAAGGTTGGCATTAAGCATGGTAATATTAGTAGTTATTTTGAAGAAAAATACAGTTATTTTATGAGCATTAAACATAAGATTAGTCAGCATGAAAATTATCTGAGCATGCAATTTAGATTTCTAGTTCCAACCTTGCCAACAATGGAAAGACCAGTCATTCTATAGTAGTGACAAAAACAATCAAACAAATCTATTTATAGCAATTGACTAACTGGCCCAAGCGTCAAATGCCCGAAGTCCCTAAACATGAAATAAATATATGCATCTCAATAATCAGAACAACGGAAATAACCAAGAACAACCCTTTATTTATTAAACTAATAGTTGTTGCATTGGTTATTATTTATTAAAAAACATTATGTATGATTAGACTATTAGAGGTTTCAAAATAGGGAACAAAATGAACCACTTGCAAAAATGGTGAAATAATGACAAAAGATGCTTATTAGAAAAATATATATTATCGAAGTGCATGGTGCTAATGATTTATATAAATTAATAAGTTGTTTTAGTTATAAAAATATAGCTCATATCAAATTTAAAGAGCACAACACTTGCATTATATTACAAGAAATCAAATAATATAACTCATGAAACATTTAATGTTTAATGGCCACCCATTTTATTGAGTTTTGTTTCCTTTGATATGTGGTAGAGGGCTAAGGTTAAAATCCTTTCATCTAAAAGTAAATAAATTATTATTTAGTAATTCATGTATGATAAATTTTAATAGTAATTTCATTAAATAATTATTAATCATCATATTAGTTAGCAATCAAATAATTAATTAATTAATTAACGTGTAATCATGAAAATGTTATTAATAATCTAGAGAAATTAAATTAATTTGTTCATTAATAAATTATTAACTATTCTTTTAATTCATATTAATTTATGCTTAGATAAGAAATTATACCATTTACTTCAAGTTACATGTTTAACTAGGACACCGTACTTATAAAACTATGTTAATTAGTTATGTAAAAATTATTAAGTTAATTTGTAATATCATATGATAAGAAGTTATGGGATAAAGGCTTGATGTTGTTGTTGTTGTATAAGAAATTATACCCTTTACTTCAAGTTACATGTTTAACTAGGACACCGTACTTATAAAACTATGTTAATTAGTTATGTAAAAATTATTAAGTTAATTTGTAATATCATATGATAAGAAGTTATACCATTTACTTTAAGTCACATGTTTATTTTGTTATAATAAAGTACTTCTTAACCACTAATTATGTAGTAAAATTAATTATGATAAGAAGATATTATAAATAATTAACATATTAATTTATTGTTTGTTGCTATGTATCAGTTTATGTAAATGACAATTATAACCTAAATAATATGAGTCAAAATATATTAAATTTCTTGAAGTTATCTGTTATTTAAATTATGCAACTTAATTTGTTAAGGCTAATAACAAAATAAAGCTGCCACAGCAAATAGCAAATGAAGTTACTTCCCACATTCATTCAATTCCAACCATTACTTCGTAATTATTAGATTAAGACCAGCCCTTTGTTTATGGCAAGCTCTATCTGAGTAAAAGAATATTGCATAGTACAATAAATATTTACCAAACTATTGTAAAAACAACATTATGAAAGTCAAGAAATGAAATTCTACTTTGCACTTTAATCTATTCCTCTATTTATTCTCTTCTCCTCGCCTCTCCTCTATTTCTATATATTCGTATCACATACTCATAGCCAAACAACAATCCAACTCAAATGATAACTCATTGTATTTCTATACATTCAACAAATTCATCTCATTCCCTCTACAATGACCTCAGCCTTATTGCGAAATTGAGTTCCCATCGTCGGACTAATCCCCGTACCTCAAACCATGTAGTAATGGACCACCTCTTCCACAGGAGACCATTTTCTCATAATGGAACACCCATCCCCTCTCAACTAAAGTTTTTGATGTTAAACATCAAGAACATAATCTCCATCCAACTCAACCAAAATCACAAACTCTCAAAATATTTTGTGCTACAAGGACTTTGGAGGATATCTAGACAATTTTGTCCCCAAACCCAACAAACACACCCTTAGTGCTGATGGCTCCATCACTCTATTCAACAATCTTCACATCTTTTCTACCATATGTCCTTAATTTAGCCACTCATGCAGAAATTCAGAAATTTGGTCCATTATAAAACAATACTACAATCGAGCTACCACTCCCACATCCTTCAATTAAAGGACAAGTTGCACGACATCTCGATGAAGGATCAATCCTTGAGTACCTCTTTGAAATTAAATCAAAAGTCAACCTTATCATATCTACTGTACCCCCACTTGACCACGAAGATATTGTCCCATGCACTCCAAACAGTCTTCCTTTGACCTTCCATGAATTCAAGAAAACCATTTGGACTAGCCTCCTACCCATTAGTCTTCTCGACCTCTACTCTCTTCTCTACTCAGCAAAAATGAATTAGGCTAATGAGGCATCCTGTGACCTACAACTCACTTAAGTGTTTGACCATCACCTCTCTCTCATTGCCTTACAAGGCCACTCATCTTACCTCTATTCTACAAGGGAATACCCACATCAGCCTTCTACAAATAGGATTGCAACTCATCAGCACACCCATGCGGTAGCAAGACTTTCACAACCATGGTGGAATGTCAAATTTGTGGCAAGGTTGCCTACTTTGCAGCCAAATGTATGAACCACAATGAGTTAAACTACAACTACCAATTGTTCCCCTAAATTTTATTTATTTTTCCACCAATCCCTCCGTCGAGTGGTACATCAACTATGGGGCAACAACCAATCTCACCTCCCTTGTAAACCAAATTTCAAATCTATAGGCATATAATATAAACTTGTCATGGTTGCAAATGGTCAGACACTTCCTATTTCCCACACTAAACATAACATTTACCTCGCCCTCACTAGTAAGCTACCACTCTCAAATTCTCCATGTTCCAAACCTTTTACATAACCTTCTCTCTGATGATTGACTCACTATTGGCAATACATGTTCTATAAATTTTGATGTGTCTGGTTACGAAATTCAGGACTTGAGTCCTATAAAAATGTCCTCAAGGGTCCATGCTTTAACAATCTCTTTCCAATCCTTCGCTTCCCTTCATCGTCTTAGCATCCCTCCAATCTTGTCTCAAAATTTAAAATTGCATAATTAAAGACTTGCCTCAACGCAATTTAAAAAAAAAATTGCAATAAGGAGTATGATTCACGCTTGCTAGATGAGGCTTTTGTCTCAGTTGGGATGAGGTGCACCTCAAGGCATGCTTAGCATAATTTTTACATAATTTTGAAGAGGCTTAAGAATAAAACTTCAGGGTTTTAGCAATTTTAAAATTAAAATTTATAATTTTTTTATATAGTTAAGCATATTTACCTTACATAAACCAAATTAAACTTGAGAAGAACCGCACAACCTCAAACTCTTAGTTGCATAGTGCATAACCTTTATACCGTATTTGATGTTGCTGTGTCTTCGTTGCAGATTCACTGTTGCCACTTCTCCAAGCCTCCTCTTGTTATTGAAGACCCATTTCCTTAGTTTTAATATGCTGGAGGAAAGAAACTAATTAGTTACAATGATGATTTTAATGAAGATCTTTTGAGTGATGAGAGCAGGTAATTATAAATTCATAAATTATAACGTTATACTACTTGTTAATGTTGAACTGGGAGTTAGAGAGACTATTTATTTAGCATTTTTTGTAGTCTTGTATGACTTTTAATTGTTTTACTTTAATTTTTTATAATCTTACTTTAATTTCTTATTTTGATGTTAGTTATGTTATTTATTATTTCATAATTTCATTAATTTGATGGTTTAACTATGACGCTTATGCCTCAAAATGCCCTGAGGCTTACACCTCGCCTCATGGAAAGAATACGCCTCAATACCCACTTGCACAATTTCAAACCTTGTCTTGCCTTGCCATCCACACGCTCTGCCTCAACAAAATGGCACATCAGGCTAGGCCATCCTCACTTCTCCACTATCTTAACAATAGCAAAAAGAAATGCCTATATATATACCTCTATCTCGACCTTCTCATGTAGCTCTTGTTGGTTAACAAAAAGTCATAAACTACCATTTACCTTATCCTAATCTCATAGTTCCCTTATTATTTCTAATTAAGTTTACAACTATTATGTATCATTAGTTGATGATTTTGCATAATTTTATTTGGTTTTCCAATGAAAACTAAATTTGAAACTATCTCAAAATTCAAATATTTCAAACAAATGATGGAATGCCAGTTAAACACTCAAATTTCTGTGCTCCGACGATGCCAAGGATAAACTAATACCACAATTCAAACACTCTAATAGCCCAATTGGTTCTTGCTCAGCAACTCGGCCCATTTCCCCAAAGAGAATGGGCTAGTACAATGAAAACATAGGAGGATTATTGAACTATTCTTACCATTCTACTTGAAGCTAATCTTTCCCACTTTCTATGGGAAAAATGTCTTCTAAATGCTATCTATCTCATAAATTAGCCACATCCCCCAAAACTGATAACCTTTCTCCATATCAAGTCTTATAGAAAGACCAGCCTCAATAGTCACACATTTAAATCTTTGGATGTGAATGCTACCCATGATTGCAACTTTACCCAAATCAAACTGTTACCAAACTCTATTTGATGCATCTTTCTCTGATGTGCTCCCTCCTATAAAGGCTATAAATGCTGCAACCCCTACAACCTCTAATACATGCAAAATCATTATTCCCAACATGTGAGCTTTAACCGAGACATCTTTTCCTACAAATTATCTCCTATTGTCTCACCAAATGTTTGTTCAAACCCAATTCAACCACCCCTAACGCTCATTCTCATCTCCAGCACTCCAGCCACTTTGCAATCTCACTAGTCTCATCATTCTGAATTACCATTGTCCACTAAGATCAACCCCATGATAGACAGCTCCAATCGTCATCTCGCAACCAACCCAACCCACTTCAACCCTTATCAATTCTCACTCTCCTTGAAAGTTGCATGTTGCATCCATTAAAAGAAATAAAAGGAGTACATATCAAGTATGGAAATACTAACTGTCTTCCCAAGCCAAAAAACAAAAGTGGGAAGATCTAAAACTATGAAAATAACCATGCAAGTATGACAAAACAAAAAGAAAGCAACAAAGACAAGGATAAGCCCCTTTGATTCACAAGGAGGCCCACCCCAATTGCATGGCCTCGAAGATCCAGTAGTGCTTAAAGAACAACTCCAGAGGGGGGAGATACCTAAGCTAGGGGTCAACACGCTTGAAGGCGGAGAGATATCCCATTCCTTCGGCAGCCGGATAAGCACACCTTCACCCTAAGGAATGAATAAGGGTAAGGCTTCATTGTTCCTCAAAGGGGACAAAGTCCCAGCCAGTGTCATCTTGTAAATTCTTCCTCCGCTTCCTTGGCAGAGTGGCAATGGGTCCCAACTATAACAGCTGCTTTTCCATGTAGGCCTTGAAAGCCTTGTGTTGTCGCTTGGAGAGATTGATGGTCGAGGGAGAAGCATCCTGAGCCGATTTGGTAGCGTTGAAAGTCAACACGCCCGAAGGCGGAGTCAATTCTCACTCTCCTCTACCATAGACCACTGACATAGCTATTCAAACACATCAAACCTCATTGCAATTGACAATCCATCCCATGATTGTTAGGCTCAAGGCAGACAAAGTGAACCTAGCACAAATACTTAACCTGTTACATTCTATAACTAAGTTTCAAGACCCAACTTGCCACACTTTTGCAGTCAAGGAAGAAAAATGATGCAGAGCAATTCCAGGAGAATTTCAAGTCATCCAGGTTCAAGGAACATGCTTGTCCCACCATCCCCAACCCAAAATGTACCTGGTAGAAAATGTACTTTCAAACTAAGCTTCTTTTCGATGATGCCATTTCAAGAAACAAAGTAAAGAATGTCTATTTGCTCAATGCTATGAACAAGAACATGGTATTGAATGCACAGACACATTTAGTCTAGTAGCAAAAATGCCCTACCATACATCCTTCTCACTGCTCCTCACAACTCATGCCCGATCATTAAATTGAACCGTCTCCGATGCCTTTTTCGATGGGATGCTCAATGAGAAGATATTTATGCCTCAACCAAAAGGCTTCATAGATCTCCACTATCTACATCATGTTTACCTCTTACAAAAGCTAAAAAAGGACTCAAATAAGGACCAAAGCAATGGTTCATTATCTAATGCAATCATCCTTACCATCTTGGCTTCAAAATTGACCCATCTCCAATGCTCACAGCCATTACAACACCAATCTTTACAACCTGATATAAGTAGACGACATCCTCCTCATTGACAATAACTTCGATACCATCAAAAGATTGCTTCAAAACCACTAACAATACTTTTACTTGTGCCATCTGAGTATTTCTTCTCACTTCTTAGGCATCCAAATAACATTAACTCCAACAAAGCTAATCACAATACATTTAAAAATTGCTACAATGATTCAGCATGGACACCTACTAAGCAATCAAAATCCTAATTACTACCAAAATCTCATTCACTAAGAATCTGGAATCCAACTTCAATGATCTAGAACTATAGAGGCACTTATTAGTACCCAAGCATCTCCTTCGCCGTCAAACACAGTGTTAGCATATGCACAAACCTTTGAATATCCACTTTCAATGGCTCGATCACCAGCTCTAGTACATTTAAAAAATTCTAACTCTTGGTCTACCCATTCACAAAGGCAAGAATCACCTTCGTGCCTACTCAAACTTTGATTGGGTAGGTGACACACCACTGCAATTATGGTAGTAGCTATTGCACATTCTTAGTTCACTCATTGATCTTGAGGTGCATGAAGAAGTTGTCAGAAGTGGCTTTCTTGTAAATAAAAGCTCAATATCGCACCTTTTAGTAAAAACCGTCATCGACATTATCTAGCTTTTCCACTTATTACAAGGATTTATTATTCAAATCACTTAAGTAACACCATTTCACCTCGCCAATGTCTTGACTCCAGCGCTTGCAAATACTACAATTTTTTATGCTTGCAATAAGCACATTAAATTATGCTATCACTTCGGTCATGAATGCATTAAATTATGGGACATCATTGCACATCATTATACATCATATTCCATTTCAGGACTGGTCATCCGCCATCTTCACCAAAACCTTATCTATCTCATAATTCACTGAACTATGGCCCAAGTTGATGCTCCAAGAAAAATCATCAACATGAGGGAAAATGATAAAGTAATAAAGCTACCACAATAGGTGGTAAATACTGACACTACCCATGCTCATACAATCCTAACAATTACTATGTAATCATTAGATTAATCTCAGTCCTTCATTTATAACGACCTCTGTCCTCAACAGAGAAATACTATATAATAAAAAATAACATTATGAAAAATAAAAACATTGAAGCTCTGCTACACTCTCTGATGTATTCCTCTCCTTATTCTCCTTCTCTCCTCTTCTCTCGATTTTTTTTTTATGTTCTCAAAGGCATCTTAATATCTCAAATCATGTATACAACTAACCTAAGAATCTTTATGCATGTTTTCATTTCTTTTAATCTCATGACTCTTGCGAGAAAGTGGTAGCAGAGATAGATTGCAAATCAATGTTTAGAACATAATCTTATGGATAAATAATTTGGCGCTTTCTAATACTTATTAATATTGTAAAGAGAAATTGGATCTTAGTCTAGTGATTGCGCTTGTTGACTCTATTATCAGTGGTGATCTTCTTTGTGGCCAATTGATTGCGAGGAGCCTTGCTGCTTTTGGACTTGCGCATGGTTTGCTTTGTAGTCATTGGTGAAATGATCTAGGGCTTATGTGTCCATGTTATAGAAAGAAGCTATGTGGAATAAATGACGGAATAAAGATGGGTCACCTGATCATGTAAAGATTGGTTGGTTGCTTAAAAATAAGGAATTGTGGATGAAGATATGTACCAACTATCATTTGTGGTCGAGGGTGATGCAAGATTAAGTATGATTTTAATGAATGCAATAAGAACTTGCATGTTTTGAATAAGAGAAATTAATAATTACGAACGTTGGCCACTAAACGATAATAGAAAACAAAAGAGGGGTGACTTCACTTAGGTCATATCCCATCAACCAATGCAAATTAAGTAGATGTTCAATAGAATCCCTAGGTTAACAATGAGATTAGAAAACATAAAAAAATCAAAACTCAAATTCTACGTTTACTAAGCGAAGGCAGAGAGCTTGCCATGAATCATTGTGCTTGAATCACAACCTACAAGAGCAGAAGATTAGAAGAGGATTTGAATAGGGGAAAAAGTTCACCCTCGTCGTGGAACAAAAGTGATTGGCCAATGAACGTTGGCAAGCTGCTCTTCCATTGTTTTGGACAAGGTGAAGATGATATGATCCAGGTATTCTTCGGTGGAATTGTCTATTTCCGGGTTGACGTCGAAGAATGTTGACCGGAGAATGTCGATGTGTCCTTGCTCGTTGTAGACGAAGCCTGAGTCAAGATCGGGATCAGCCATTCATCGATTCCATAGGGTTGAAGTGTTGGAGACGATGGTCTTTGCTTCCCATAAAGACTCCTCTTGAGAGAAAGAAGTTTCTCTCAAGGATTTAAGTGGAGAAGAGGGAGAGAGGTGGCCGGCCAAAGATGGGGGCTTAGGGAAGAAATAGGTTCAGATTTTGGGAGGTAGGATGGAGGGAAGTTTAGGAATTTGTTTCCCCTAATTAATAATTAAATGGGGAAAGCGGTGAGAGGGAGGGGCGGGTAGGAGAGGTAGGGGTTTTGAAATCTTCCCAAAGAGAGGAGTTAATAATTTAGAAAGAAATAAAGGGGAATTAAAAAGGGGGCCGGCATAGAGAGAGAGGGGGCTGGCGGTTTCAATAGGGAAGAAGGATTTAGGGAGAGACATTTAAGGGTTGCTTGTTTTGGACTTGGATATTTGGGAATGTGTAATTAAATCCAATTGAATTTAAATACAAGTAGGATTTAATTTTGGAAACTTTTCAAAAATAGAATTTCCTAATTTCCAAAACAATTAAAGTTCAAATTAGGGTTGCATATGGGAGGTGGGCTTGTGGTTGGCCGGTGGTGGGAGGTTTAAAGAGGTTGCCGACGGCTTAAGGTTGTATATGGACCGAGAGATGGAAGGGAAGGGAGGGATAAAAAGATAAAGAAAATTATTAAGAAACTAGACACGAAATCGGACTCTTCCAAGGTTGGTGGGTGATCCGATTCCCTCTCCAAAGGATTTCTCTCCAAACCTTCTCAAGCTCTTACAAGAACTCAATATGCAGAAAATTTTATAATTCATTCATAAACCTTCAAAAGAAAACATAAGGGCTATATATAGCCTCATGCAATGGACGGGAAAATAAAAAAATTACTTAGCCCTTTGGGCTTATACATGACAAACCCTTAAGTAAGGGGTAAAAAGGGAAATACGACTAAAACAAATAAAAAAGCAAATAAATATAATAAGTACATATGAGGACTCAAAAATAGATCGGCGCAATCGTGGCCGTAGATTGACGACCACGCCTCTGATAAACTTTCCATGCTCTGATGTCCCCATCATAAGGCTTATCACTTCCCTTAGATTCTCGTGACTATCCTCTGTCTTTTCCCAAGGTATTTTAATAAGCACTGCAAAACCTATCTCGAAAGAGGCTTTAGGTGGTAAGATTGGTGCTTTATTCCGTTTCTATAAATGGGATTTGGCAACCCCCTCTTTTCCTTGGTTAAACTAATTGCTTGTTGATGTGTCTTTACTATTAAATTTCATCATGATGGTTCATCGATCATCAAAGCTTTGTTAGTTGTTGAATGGGTAACTTAGGTCTATGGGATAGAATTTTAATGCATTCTTCCTATTTGTTTTGCTTAATTCTATCGAGATTCCCCTCTCAGTAATTAACATTCAAGCCTAGACTTTGCTCCAAATAGATGTGAGCAATGCCTTCAGGAGATTGTTTATATTATGTTATGAGTGGAAGAACCGTGTAAATTTACTCAGGAAGATTATCTATGGACTTTAATAGTCATGAGGTTGAATTAACAAATTTTGTGACGTATTTGTTGAGCTTGGCCTTCATATTAACACCACGGATCATTTTATCTTCATTAGACATGCTACCTTTGACTCTATTATACTTGTTTATGTTAATAATATTTGTTCGCATAAGTGATTATAATGATACCTTTGTGGTAAAACATTACTTACAAAAAATGTTTTATCTCCAAGGATCCTGAACAACCCCAATTGAGTTAAATTTGCATATAACAAAAAAGGGGTATCATTATCTCAAAGAAGGTATGCTGTTGATCCTCTTGAAGAAATCGACCTTCTTGATTGCAAGTCGGATGATTTCTCTATGGAAATTAAAACTGTCTGATAACAAAGGGCAAGCAATTGGACACATCTAAATATCGATGGTTAGTTTGCAATTTAATTTATTTAAACTATTATCGGATCCGATATTTCATTTGTTAGCTGGCTCATGCAACATCTAAAACAAAAGCTTAGACTAAACATGTGAATATTGAAGCATTTTTTAATGTTGATTATGCTAGCTTTAATGAAGATTGGAAGTTTAGTTAAAGACATTGTATTTTTTTTTAAGATTAACTTACTTGGAAAAGTAAGAAACAAATTCTTGTGGTTAGGATCAATGCAAAGGCTAAATATAGATGACTTCATAATTATCGTAGTAAAAACTCTTGGAAGAGTTTATTTTTCTATTACGTTGCCTATGGCCGTACTACGATAATTATGCTGTCATCTATATTGTTAAGCAATCATGTTTTCTATGAATGGACTAAATATATTGAATTGATTGTTATTTTATGTTACATTTTGTTTGTTTTCAAGAAGATTGTTGCTCCTCTTTTTTCAGCTTAGAGCAAGTGGCAAATGTTTTTATCAAAACTCTGTCATTTTCTATTTTCATATTTATATAGCAAGTTGAAGTTAACAAATATATATGCTCTAGTTGAGAGGTATGAGTTTAGTACGTAGGGCTTCTAATGTTAGAACAAGAGTATATTGGAAAAATCCCAATAAATTGAGGTATTATTTTTAAATATTTGTTTCAATGTTGTATCTTCTTGTAAGTCTGTTTATAGACCCTCCTTCAAGCCATTATATAATGGAATTCTTTTCCTTGCAACAAAAATAACCAGTGAGATGCTTGTTTACCATCTAAAATCTTGCCTTGCTTTATTTTTTTGAATCCAAAACCCTTACATGACATGGTTTTTGGAGAAACATTATACCTTTGAACCGTGGATAATTTCTATTTTGGCCCGAAATTTCAGATTTCATGCACTAATTTAAACAATTGAGTGCTTTTGTGGGCTTCCATTTTCTTTGTAGTCATAAGGAATCAAAGCTTGCATTTATCATGAAATTATTACCAGAAAGAGCTAGATTTTCTCATGCAACTTTGTTTTGAAACAGAAATCCAGAGGCTTGGGAAAATTACAGAGGAACACGATGGCAATGATGGGCAGTTTGGAGTTCAATCTAGCAGTTCTCTGATGCCTGAAACTCAGTTTTTTGAACTGAACAAAAAGATCAAGCATATGGAGTCCAAGCTACATGAAACCTTGGCAACCGTTAAAATCAAGGAACAGCAGGTCTGGGAGCTTGAACTAGTACTTAGCAATAATAATTTTCCAAAATTGGAAGGCACAAGTTCCCTTGTATCAGCCCTTCAAGATCGTAAAGAGGAGGTGAAGTCTGAACTTGAAGTCCTCCTCAAGAAAAAGATGGAGGCAGAAATTGAGTATTTGATCTTAAGAAGAACTTCCCCCAACTGGCAAATTCTATCTGAAGATCACATTACTTTGTCAAATGGGTTGAGGCATCTGGCTGGTGATCAAGAACAGATGATGCTAAAGCTTAGAGATGCTGAGGACAAGACCTTGAAGTTGAGAGAAAGGACAGACAAGTTAGGGGCTTATTCCGAGGAGCTGGTAAGGACAGAGTATTTCCTGAGGGTGCAACACATGGTCTGTAAGTTTTCCCTCTACTTTATTTTTCAGTTGACGCTGTTGTGTGTTGTCTTTGGATTATTTGGTATGAAGTTGATGTTCCCGATTGATGGGGTGGCACCGACCTAGTTTTCCAAGCCAAACCCTATGTAATCTTTGTTGACCTTAGAAGTTCTTTGTTTTGCCCCAATGTATGACCTCTAAAAGTTTTTTTTTAGCACATATGCCTTCTACTTTGGTGCAATTAATTTATTTAATTACGTTGTTTTGTACGAATTGAAATTCTGCCTGAAATGATAAACGACAATTTGTTGTTCCTAGCAAATCTCGAACAAGGGTGTGGCAGAAGATGAAACAGGAGACTAATAGGGAAAAGGCTTACTTCATTTCATTCCCCCTTCCCCTTATTTAGGAGTTTTTATAGAGTTACAATGGCCCATTGATCATTAACCCAACCCAAATCTACTCATTACAATTATTATCACTTGCATATTTCTATCATCACGTACTCGTCCACTGTTAACTGATACACTTCATCTTATAAGCTATCAACAGGATGATCAGTCGGCTCACTGATCCACTACTCGTGTATACAGAATATTGCTTTTCAGAAACATCACATAGCAGCCGTTGGATGCTCTGCTGCATGCATTATCAGTACCGTTGATTGATAACTGTCACTGAGTAATTCAGCATACTACTCATTATCCTAATATACATATTTATATATGTTACTTACGGTCTGTAACTTGGTATCAAGATGAATGCAATTCTCATTATCTTTTTTGGATTTCCTCTGTTCTGCTTTCTGCATGTTCTGTATTAACCTGCAGGATCAATTTGAACTACAACATACTGTAGTATTTTACATGTTATCCGAGCCGTAGGCTAGAACCGTATCTCAGCCTCTTCTGTTTTGCTTTTATCTGGTATGGATTCATCTGCATCTTCAACAACTCACCCCTCTTCGATTCCAC